AATTTTGTTGATTTTCTTTTTTTATTTCTCTTAATAACAGTTTTATTCTTTACTCTTTTTAGATCACCTCGTTGCACGAAGTGAATAAACCATTTTCGACATGGCCATAATGAAAACAACATAAAATTCACCAGTGACTATTTAATCCCAAGCATTATCGATTAGCCTAATAGGCGAATAATTTTACACCTTGAAATTACCGTGCAACCAAAGTTATTATCCCGTGCCACGGTACGGCAAACGCGAAATTCTATTATAAAGTTAAAGTTCGAGACTGAAATTTTGCACGGTTTGTTAGCCAGCTTCTAGAGACCATCGATAAATGTTGCAAGTTTGAAATAAATTAACCTTTCACGTACGAGCCGACTTCATGGAGTTCCGTCATTCCTCGTTACCTTTAAATACGTTATATTATTTCTATGTATGCAATAAATGTAAATTTGTATAATACGTACATTACATTTTACTTGAAATTATATTTCGTTAAAAATTATTTCCAAATCACGACTTGCACTACGACATTCCAATCTTACATTAATATCTTTTTGTCACTTGCCTCGATATATTTTTCGATATTTTTTTTCGAAATAATTTTTTTCATATTTATAATTTAAAATTGTTATACGCATTAATTTGTAATACAAGATTTTGCAAATCGACATCACTGTATAATATAAATAATATTAAAATAACAATTAATAAAATAAAATAATATAAATAACAATAATTATATATTTATTATATATTTGAGCGTATTTCGATTGGATCTTTATTATATAAGATTTAATGAATAATCATTAATATTAGAAACGATATTTTCCTAAAAGATTCAATAAAAAAAAATATTGAAAATTCTATAACCGAAAATATATAAAATTCATAGAAAATGAAATTACAATATCCGATAAAATTCAAAGCTAACGAAAAAATCCAAGAAACATTTTGCACGTTGTAAAAATCTCGATTAAACTTCGCCGAAAGATTTAAAAAAAAAAAAAAAAAAAAAAAGAAAACATTAAAAAGTTACAAAACAAAAAGTTCATAAAGAGAAACTATAACATTGAAAATTTGCCAGTCAAAAATCATAGAAATCTATCCAAAGTGAAAATAAGGTGGAATCGCAATTCACGGAAACGTCGCTCAAGGAACGTACCGTTGAAAGGAGGCGATTCCATCGAAATGACCGTAATTGATTTTTATCCGTAATTAATACGTAATCACCGTTCCAATCGTCAAGTCATCGATCTGACTCATCAACGTATCCCAGAAAATCACGAGGACAAAAATCTGACGCAGAGGGGCGCCTCATGCCTGTGTCATGCCGGTTCGACGTTATTATATTCGGGAAACGTTCGTTTAAAACGATCGATCGAGAGTTATGGCCGATCGTCGACTAAATTCGGGGGAAGTCCGGTGTATTGTTCGTTCGCGACGCAACGAGAAGCTTCATGAATCCCGACGCGAAGCCGAGTTACCGAGAAAAACCGACACGCAACGCGCGTAGTTTATCGTTCAAGGAATTATTGACGTTTCGTCGATATAATTGATGTTTGCGAATCGGCCTCGTTTCTTCGACGACGACGACGACAGGTTGTCGACCTTCGAGGATCGATAGAAACTTTTGACGATTTTCTTTCCGAGTTGATTACGAAGCAGGTATCGAATAGAACTTGTAATTTTTAATGGATAAACGTTGCTCGATGAAGTTTCGATTTCTTCTGATGCTTTTTGTTTTAGATAATTTTATTGTATATTGTCAAGCGCATATAATCTTACTTTTTGTACATTTTAAATAACTGAGATAATGAACGTTTGTCAAATTTCATCTCTGTTTTAGGTTAAATTTTATGTATTCACGTGTGATATTATTAAAAAAAATTGTAAAAGTTTTAATGTATGAATGGTATGTCCTCAACTATATATAACTTTATTTTTCGTACATTATTGAAAATAATAAATTAATAAATGTGTTTTAATTTTAAAAATTTGTTAAAATTATATTTTGTAAAAATTTATTAATTTATGCACATGAAATATTATAAATATTTTGTATTATTTTGTACGAGAAAATGTTAACTAGAAACGTCGCCTCACATCTAACGTCATCTCTCAGTTCAGTTTCAGAAACGTAAGACGTCAATTAATATTTGCAATTAATAATTATTTTGTATTCGATTAGAAGTTCCAGAAGTGGAAAAATCCAATTATGTATTAATTTAACGGAAATTTAATGAATATTCTCTGAAGAACATTCTTAACAACGTCGATAATGTTTAATGATTATCAAGATGGAAATGGAAGTGGAAAATTAAACGTAGTTAGCTTTGGGATATTCCGAAGAATATCTTTGACAATAAAAAGGAATTTTGATGATCCGATGATTTTCGAGAAACTTTAATGGAAAAGTGAAAAATGGAATAATAGAAATGGAAAAAATTCTAATTCTAATTCTAATTTTATAAGCTAGTAAACTAGTAAGAAGTTAAAATAAATCTTAAAAAAGTTATATGACTATATAAAGACAATATAAAGAGATACCAATGATTTTGAAGTTTAAATGAAAATAAAAATAGAAAAATAATTGAATCTTTTATAAAATTTTGTAGGAGAAGTTCAAAAGGTGTTGTGAAAAAATTGTTTGACTATATCGAGAGACTTTAATGATTTATTTTAAGAAATTTGAATAGTAGTAGAAGTAAGAAAAAATGAATATTATAAAAATAATAAATAGATGAACAGATTTTAATTTTTGAAGAACTTAGAAATACTAATATACATACACAAGAGAATGAATTTTCTCGAATTATTTCATTATTCATTGACTATAAATAAAAATAATTTGTTACTTCACTTAGCATCTTATCATATTTGAACAAATATTTTCTCAAAATAACTTCTTGAATTACTTTTCGACTCCATTTTGTCTATATTCAATTACATCAGAAATTCAAATTCCTTCATGAATTTCTTTAACAACATCAAGAATTTATAACAAAATAACTATATTCAAAAAAATTCACTCGATCTCGACGAAAAACTATTTTATTTATTAAATTTATATTGTAATTATTTATATTAATATTTTCATCTATTATTCTTAAAATATTAGAATTTACTTCAAATTCTTATCTTTTATCATCACGTCAATAAAATATGTCCAAGCCTTAGTTATAAATAGCAGAACAAAGAACGTTCCAACTGTTCTCGAGCCAATTTGCTACTCATCGATCGCACTAGAATCGCGCTAAAGAGATTTCGAGAAAAGGCATTGCGATATGGATAGGATTAAGATGATGTAAAAATCGTACGTTGAAAACACATCACACGTTAACACTTCGAATCTAGGCTACAAGAGTCACTCGCCGGGATATCCGAGCGAATATCGTGACATGGTTCGCGATCCATGCGACGGCCGCGCGAGCAACGTATGGAACCGAGCGGAACAATTTTAATGAAGATGATTTTCGTCGTCAGCGAAACGACGCAGTTCAAAAAGTCGATCTTGAAACCGTTTTAGTTTCGTTTTTATCCCGTTTCATCCGCTACTTTCTTTCGTCGAAAATACGCATGCGCGTAAGATATGTTTCTGCTTCGCGAAATGTGAAAAAAGACAAGACTTAACCTTAACTTTTTGCCTTATTTAAGAAAACCTGAAAAATTTGATTAATAATTTATCGAATAAAAAATTGAATATTAACGATAAACAACAACAACGGTTCAATTTTAACTATACAACATCGAACTGTAACAAACCATTGAAGAAACAATATATAATCTTCATCAATAATAAATAAATAATCGAATCGATACATCAACCGATAAAATACCAAACTGTACACACTATATATCCCCCAATAAAATTACCTATCTTGTACCACGTAAGTAAAACGGAATAGGAAATTCCTTGTACGTGGTCAACCTAACAATCCTGGACTGTTTAAAGAAGAATACTTTTCTGCCGTTTGGTTACGCCAATTCCACGTAATAACAGTGAAATATTGAATCCGAGCGTAAACTGCAATTTAATCGACTCCACGGCACGAATGTCTTCGGGACACGAGCGAGATCTTGACTCGCTTCAAGGCTCTCTGCTAACGTAAACGAGAAAATTCTCGAAGAAGGGAAATGACGTGAGGTCCCGAGGGTTTCATACTAACCGACGCATCGACCCTGTTCCTCTTCTCTACGATCCTTTATATACCTTCTCTTTCCCTCTGTCGATATCTTTCCTCAGTTCTCTCTCTCTGTTTTACCGCGAGAGAGGATCAACGATAGTGATTGGCGATTACGTTAACCAAACACCGCGGTATACGCCCCTGCAATTTGCCTGAGGATCATCTTCCCCTAATCGCCGCGCTAATAACAGGATTACCGAGCTCTGACCAAGGAATCGTATACTTATCCCTAATTCGCTGTATCGTTATTAATATATATAATACAATTGAGAACGTACCGTGGTTGCGATAAGGATGAGTACATAGGACAGGGCACGCGCGAAAACGCCGAAACGACGTCATTTTTCTTTCTTTTTGCACGAGAATGCCTTTTAACCGCGTTGTGTAATTTCGAATTAATGAGAAAGAGCGAGAAATTACGCTCCTCCTGTCGATTCATTGATTCTTACTATAATATGGTTATTAAAATGTCTGTTTCTTTTTCCTTGGATATGTTTTTTTTTTAAGGTTAAGTGATATATAAATTAGTGATTCGTTCGTGATATTTATTTTTAATAATTTCGGAATTTTGATTCGTGAAAGATTTCATGTATTGAAATATGATCACTTTTTGTTTTGTTTGTTTTTAATAGAGTTTTATGAAAAATTGAATATGAATTTCAATTTTTATTTGTAAAATATTAAATCTCTTATTTTCTAATTATAATATATATATATATATATATATATGTATCTTTTTCGAATATGATTCTAATATTGTTACAGTATAAATGTTTATGCATGTATTTAAAAGAATGAAATAATAAAATTAAAAAGAACACTTACGTGTAATGGGAATAAGAAGGGCTAGCCTGATCGATGTGCGTAGCCGTTGACAAGCCTTGCACAATGGCAGCCGAGGGATCCCTAGCTGGCGAAGAATTTTGAGCTGCCGGTACAGCGTGATGGTAACGCTGGCACATTTCGGCCAAATTCCACCCATGGGCATCCATATATTAACACTGCTTCGATTTTCTTTGGCGTACCATCCATTTCACACGCGTTATGACACTGTTCTCTTATTGGTCCTCCGTTTCTTTAATAACCGAATATATCCGATTCACTTACTCGTTTCATCGATCACGAACGAATTGAAGAAACGTAAACGAAACACACTTGCGCGACTGTCGTCCATTTTTCATCTCGAAACTTCGATTATTGCACTCGAATCGATGTCGATCATCAAGAAAACAAAATCGACGATTCTTCTCCTCTAGCATAGGATCCTGTAACAAAACAAAACATTTTGTTAGCATCTCAAATTTCATTATAATTAGAAATTTCTTTAATCAACGATCTTCGCAATATAAGAAACCATGCTAACCTAAAATAAATTTCACTAGCATTTTTTTTTTAAATACATAAAAATTAATCTTCTATATTGTAAAATTTTTCTAAACATTCTTTTCCTTTTTTTACAAATATATGATCATATCGTGAAATGAAAAAATGTGAGATATATTTAAAAATTTTATCAAAAGTATAATAAAAAAATTCTACATATATTTGTTTCAATGAGAATGCAGCATAAAGAATATATCGATAGAATTGTGTAAAAAGATAGTGATACTCATTATATAATATTCGAATAGATCACATGGTTTAAAGACCAGGTTAATGAAAGTGTCTGGTTAATTTTAGCGGTGATGAGTTGGTAATAAGGTTCCATTAATAGACGGGTTCAAAATGCCAGATACTAGATAATGATCGGTATATATCGATAGACTTCGATATCGATCGGCTTCTATTCGAGAAACAACGATCGGAGCGTTAATCACTACCGTTGCAGCAAATCAACCGAACAGCTATAATAATCGGTATCCATATTATGGTCCATCAAATCAGAGGTATCGTAGAGTTGCACCTAATCTAATATAGAAAAGAGAATAACAAGACCCCGGAGGGATTTATCCAATCGATCCAATTTCTTTCTCTCGATATTTTACGCGGTCACGTTCTTTCATGGCTTGATTTCACGTATACATGTAATAGTTATATATTATTTATTTTTAATTTTACATTTAAAATTTTTTCGTTTAAATTTTTATTAATAAATTGAAATATTAAATTTTGTTTATAATGAATTAATAATTGAGAATAAAAATAGATGTGATATATTATTTATAGGTTATTATTTATATTTTAATATTAGATATTATAATTTTTAATCCATAAAATTTTTACTTATAATTTTTTATTTTCATTTTTTTCAAATAGAGGTAAATGCTTGTATTCTCTCTCTCTCTCTCTCTCTCTCTCTCTCTCAATACCTATTTATCAAAAATTAAAATATCAATAAATTTTGATTTTTAAAATTTTTCGAACTTAGATGGTAAGTGATCCTGACTTTTTTACATTCCATAGCGATCAATCACCAAGTGACAAACGTGAAATATACGTTTTTTAACTATAATCGAATAATTATTTATTTCCTTATTGTCCAACGACTGACGAACGATCCAATTACCAGAGAAATGGGCCGCCAATAATTTTCGGTCCTTCCAGTAAGTGGCACGACATGGGGAGACCGTATGTGGACCGTTTCAAACTTATAATTTCCTCTAGAAATTAATCGTCGACTACTGGGTTAGGTTAGTAAGCGCCTTCGTAGCTTAAGCGATTGGGTGTTAATCACGCTTGTGACCACGATGTATATAGATATATAGTTTTATATATATATATAAATATACATATAAATATATATCTTAAAGGGACCAATCACCAATAAATTACTAGTTATCTAACTGGGAGGATAGTAAAACGTTTCTCTTTCTTTTAAGATGCAATTAACCGTTCCTGGATTTGCGTTTTAACTTGAGACTATGTTGTTCCTTGTCATATCGCAAAGTTGTTCACGTAACTACGCAGTTTAATGACCTTTTTTGACTATTTAACTCTGGTTTTTAAGTTTATCTTATCATTACAAAAGAATAAATCAGTTGGGGGAATTTGAAAAGTGTGGAAAAATGTAGAGGTTAGAAACGCTAACTCGTGGATAATTCCAAAGAATTTTATAAATTTGTTTTCAAAAATACAATTAGAAAACTAGAAATTAATCGTTTCATATGTATTTCCAATCTACACAAGGTTTCTCACGAAAAGAATCAATCTTCATATTAACGTCACATTCACAATCTCTCATTACACATCGTGCATTAAGGGTTACAATAATAATAATCCTTCCTAATAAATCTTTCGAATGGACAACTGCACAGCTCGACATTGATGAATTTCCAGAATTTGAATAAAATCTCCTACTATTCTTTCACTTCTTTGTTATAAATCATGATAAGTTTCTAGGTTAATCGTGTCTCGTTCCATTAGCGCGAAAATTGAAATTTTCTTCACGAGGCGCGATTAACAACACTTTTATCCACTTCGATCACTTTTAGATCATCCGTATATATTCGCGTAATTCGAGAGTCATCATAAGAAATTCACAATCCACACACTTGAACTTAGACCTTTCCCCGCATCATTAAATAATCATACGATATATACGCACGCGCGCGCGATACCAATTCCACTTTCCACAAAAAGGCAAGTTTTCATTTAGAGACTACCCATGGGATATGCAGTTATCATCGAATTTCCAAAAATGTCCACGATTATTTTTACCATAAAATGTGAACGTGACTCTTCGAGGCAACTTAGAAAGTCTCTCGAAGTTGATTTACAATTTTCAGATTTTGCTGGAATATCGAACAATCTCGTTGCGGTAATTGTACGCTCATTACGAGGCATTTTGCATATTATTTACTTTCTTCGAGAATCACCGCCGCGATCGAAAGATGCATATCGCGTATGAAAATCGCGTTGAAACTTCGTCGAAGGGAAAGGACAAGGGAAAGAGAGAGAGAGAGAGAGAGAGAGAGAGAGAGAGAGAGAGAGAGAGAGACAGATGGTGTGGGGAAGAGAGGGAGAAAGACGAGAAAAAAAGAAGAGGCACGCGAGGAAAAAGGGACAGGCGAAGATCTCGCGGCGAAGAGACCGTTAATTTAAGCGGATTTTTCACAGTGACATCGTTACGCGACTCCGCGGCATTCCGTGTGCTTTCGTGCCTCCATCCTTGTAATGACATACACCGTGCGATACAACGAATATCGCGTATCGATCTGGCATTATGATTATTATTGCGTTATGCTGCGCCACGATTGAGACCTTCGTTCGTTTGCTTTTAAGCGTGTACATGTTGGCAAGGGGGGGGCGGGGTATAGGTGTGTGGATGAACGTACACTGTGTAAGTATACTGTTTAGATTCTGGACTTTGTAATTGTTTTGCATTCGGTTAAGGGAATATTGCGTTTGATGGAAATAAAGATACGAAGATGGGAAATATACGTAAATTTAAATCTCTTTTGAAAATTCGAGATCAGATTTTTGAGAATGGAACGATTGCAGTAAGAAATATAATTTTTGAATTGTTGCGTGTAATTTATGTAAAATAAAAAAAATCTCTATCGTGTAATCGTGTAAGCTACAAATATTGATAAAAAAATGATTTATTATAGATCTTTGATATATAAATAAACTCTGTACACAATATATCTTATAATACATATTAATAATTGTTAAAGTTTAACTTCTTGAAATTAAATTAATTAAATTGAATATTTTTTGTTTTCTTTTATTAAGATTATTTTTAAAAAATTCATGGAAATTGATCTTTTTTGTTGAATTCGATTTTTGATAATTATTTTGTTTTTTAAAAAAAATGTAAAGATATAATTGATTAAAATAATATTGTGAATTTTCTTTTTTTTCTTATCAGAAATTGAAGTTTAGACTTGAGATTTAAACTGAGTAGCAAATTAAATTATTTAATGAAATAATAATATTGATATGATTCATTTACTACGATATTCAACATTTGGAATTGAATGACAAAGCAGATATTTGAGTAACAAAATAACTAAAACTACCTCGTATTTCACCAAACTATAAACTAAATTAACTGGCGAATCCAGTTTCTTGTCACTACTATATAAAGAATACATATGTGATATTTATCTTTATCTAATAATATATTCTCCTAAACTTGATTAATTTCAATCATAATAATTTATTAATTATTGCAGTTTTCAAATTATCCAATTTTTTAAATTCTTTTTTTCTATTTATAAAAGAATGAATTATTTCATATTACAATTATCATATTGTTATATACATAGATTAAATTTAATCTATAAATAATATCTCAAAGAAAATCAATCATTCAAAATTTATAAATTCTTCTGTATCTTACATCACCAATTCTATATATTAATACACATTAAAATCTTTACCATAAACTCTGTACACAATATATATCTTGCAATACATATTAATAATTGTTAAAGTTTAATTTCTTGAAATTAAATTATTTAAATTGAAAAAAGAAAAAAGTAAAAAAATTTCTTTATATCATAAAATCATACATCTTTTATAATATTATATTTCTTCTTGAATTCTTTTGAATTATCCTATCTTGTTTCTTCTCAAATTTTGTCGTTCAAACAAATAACAAAATAATTTATTGTTTGAAATCGTTTCAAATATAAATCGATATTATTTATATATTTAAATACAATCAATACTGGAAATAACGAATAGAAATAAATTATTTCAAATAATTATTCCTTATTTCAATTTCAATTAAAAATTTATCCAAGCGTGGTAGTGGATAATAAAAATACGTTGACTTTATATTTCCTTCCACCCTGCTGTACACCTCTCAATCGTGCGACGGACACGCTCAATGCAGTTAGTTAGCCGTGTTGTACCTCCACCGCTTGTAACCACCATCGAATCCGACCTGGCCTCTCGTATTATCGACTAGACTGTTACGACGTCGAAAGACGACGAGGTCGTTCGATTTCATATGACGAGGGCACGTCTCGATGGCGCAAGAGCTTCGATTTATTATGCACTGGTAAAATTCGAAGGAACGCGGCGAACCGTCCATGTCCATTTTCCATCGGCAACGAACGTGGAAGATTAGTTGATTCACCTTTGAGAACATGTCCATTGTCTGTCGTGGTTTATCAATTGTTGGTTAATGACGCGAATCTCGAGCTGCATGTTTCACGGGGATCGTAGCTCATTATCGTTCGAGGTTGTATCGAGTGTGAAATTGCGACGTTAATGGGGATATTTAACGCTTTGCGTGCGACGAGAAAGAGATATATGGAGAACATGTACGTATACGGTTTGACGTTTCGTTGTGGTTTGTAAAAAAAGATTCGAAAAAAATGATGAAAAATTGTAGATTTAAATTTGTTTGTATAAGAATAATGAAGTGGAATTCGAATAGATAATTTAATTAAAATAAATAAATTTATAAAATAAACATAGTTTGCAATTATGAAATTTGAGGTTATAAACATCTATATTTATAATTTTTCAAATTCATAATAAAAAATAAATTTACCTAAACTTTATTCGTCTCTACTCCGACGAATTTACTCTCGAATCGTATTTACACGTACGTTATAAAACATCACATATTAGTTAACTCTAATAAGCAACACCCACACAAAACATCCAACTACTCTATATATCACATCTCGCAATAAGAATCCAACCACGATATTAATTGTAAATGACATTAAAATTTTCACAATACCTGTTTCGAATTCTTACTCTTCGAACTCTTACGCAACGGCGAAAATCGCTCGTCGAAAATAGATAAAGGATTCAGCGTGAAAAAAAAGGAAGCAATACGATATAACCTCCTAAACACGAGGAAAAGAGACCTTGCCAAACAGAACTTGTTCACGTTTCGATTTTCGACACACGAAGCCTCGATCGAAATCAAGCGAGTATCGATCGACCGATCGATCGGCGCACGAACTCGGTTATCGACTCCTCGGATCGCCGTTAACGAAGGTTTCACGGTGGATTTTCGAAAAATCGACTTGGAGCGCGCGCACTGCCTCCTTTCCTCTCCCTCCCACCCTCGGCCTATCTCGTTCCCTCTCGTACACCCACGCGCGGCGCAACGACGAAACCGGCCGCCGGCTAAGAGAGAGTGTATTTCTCGCTTATTATCCTTTCCTTCGATTTCCTACCGTAAGGAAAAAGAATACTCGCCTCGGATGCTGGCTTATGTATCGACGGTATCGTCCCGCTGCTCTCGCCGTCTGTGACTCACACGCGCGAACCGCGTTAACGTGCACAACTCGGTTTCAAGATTTACAGCTCATTACCGATTTCATAGCCCGTAGTCACGACCAGGTCGCGGTCGCGGACTAACTCGAAATTTAGGCTCAACGCGATAAAACGACGCAATGTGGTTGCGAACTAATATCGGTAACACTACGCGATTCGACAAGTATATGTTTTCAATAGTATCGTAATAGGTGTAGTACGTTGCAGAAATATAGAAAAGTTTTCTGACGTGAAATATCAAACAATGATATACGAACGAAATATTTATTATACCGATGCCGCTCCACTGCGCCACAGCATGTAAAATTATACGATTGTTTGTTTCGCATCATTTGATCTTAATTTAGATGATATATAGTCTCGAACCACTATGGTCTCGTTATGTACAAATATATATACAATTTTATTATTTATATTTATAATATTTATTATTTATATTTCTGTTAGTGAGATAATACATTTTTCTGTGAATATTGTGTTATTAGAACATAAAAACATACTGACTCACTTAATCATCGCTACGAAATATCGACAATATCAACAATGTTATGTAGCTGCGTAATACTTTTAGACAAATACGATTACTTTCTACCTATCAATAATAGATATATATCGCGTATATTTTATCGAATTTCGCATATTAAATTGAAATGCGCGCCAAATTACGTATTGCATTACCTTCTAATTTCCTCGATATTCTTTGGATGTACAATTTCCTTTTGATTTGCGTTGAATCTTCTGATTTCTCACAGGCGGCTCGAGAAATATCACTATCTTGATTTGAAGGAAATATCAGGAAAGTCTTTCATCCGAAATACCGTCTCGGATATCGATGATTTCTTTCACGATTTCACGATAGTGATCAGTGATATATAGGGATATCTTGACAGATACGCATGTCACGCGTTTGTACGCATTTACGTACACGGTTGGAAAACACTAAGACAATCTTCTAATTGTGGAGCACTAGATAAGTCACTGAATAAGGACTCTCGTTAGATTGCACGAGTATAGTACCACGAGGCTCGTCACGTTGACAACGATCACGACAATGACGACGATGAGTATGACGAGGTGATCGTAACGTAGCATAACACTGATTCGACCGATGCGTGCATGAACAGCAGCACGATCTAAGACACGAACACTGGGTTCGCGTTAACCGCTCCACGCTCATGGAAATGTCAAACGACGCAACGTTAGCTCGGTATACCGTCGCGCCGGTAGCGGCGGCCGTCGCTCGTGTGGGAGTGTGACATAATATAACAGCGTCGGTAATTTTAAGTGCGTTGCACGTTGATTTAACCGGTTGTCACGAGATTCACGCCACTATTCGCGCTCCTAATTCCTCTAATAAGAAATCGTTATCCTGACAAAATTGAACAAGCAATTTCATATATCGTGCTTATAGTTCTGTGTATATTACGCGTTTACCGATCTAATTACGATTCTTTTTTATCTAACCGTTTTAATTTCACGTCAATCGATCTATAGCCTACGTGATTCAGGTCGAAACGTGCAGGCTTGTCTATCGTTGATCTCTATCGATAGCTGGTCGGGCGCGTGCGTCCAACTCGGTCGCGGCAGCCGGCCCGGCTGACTCTCGCGTGTTCCGTGGTGCACGACTCGAGCGCGAACTGAAGTCGAACGCGCCGTGAGGTGAGCGGAGGTGACTTGCGACTCGACTCGACTCGACTCGACTTCGCTCGACTCCCCTCGACTCCACTCGACTCGACTCGGCCCGGGCCGAACCACCGGCGGCCACACTCTCAGTGGCGGCGCCCCGCGCTTTCTACGTTTCTACCGCGACCGCGCCGCGGATTCGCGACCTGATCTATACAAACGTTGCACAGGTATACGTGTGCATGGACGTACCGATTGCAGAGGATGCCCCGTACTCTCCGTCTCATCTTTTAACCTCTTCTTACATTATTCTTCTCTTTCTTTTCTTCGATCTCTTCGTCTAGGTTTTATGGTCAGGTTTTGTCGATTCCTTTCTCTTGCTCTCGTTACGGATTTCTCATAGACTGTTTCGCTTCGTTCAATCTCCCTCTCGCGCGAATACGGCCACATGGATACGCCCGTGCATAGGCGGCATCTCTGCGCCATCGCTCGACCGCGAGGAAACCGCGGTTTCGAGTTTAGACATGCTTACGATTTTTGGAATTCGATGTAGAGTTTGAATTACCTTATATGATTATTTTATGTTCTTTATAACGAATGAAATATAAAATTGAAAATATGTAAAAATATAATTCATCATGATGGTTTCTATTATAGAAAATTATAAAAATTATTATTTAATATCCATTAAATTTATAATTACATATATCTTTATATTTCTCATTTTTCAATTATTATTTCAAATAATTACAATTTGTTAATAAATTAGTCTCTAGTTTTATATTAAAGTAATATTGTTGCGTATTTTTCAGTATAATTATTTTTTTGCTTTCGTACAACGAATTTTTTAATAAAATGCATCGCTTTCTACATATAAAAAAAGCAATATCAATTCTAATTATTTAAAATTTGTTTTATTTTTTAAAAAATGTAAAATTTTTATGTTTATTCCTTTTTAGATATAAATTTTATACAATCTCATAAGAATTCATTTGAAAATTTATAGTGGTTTACATCAAATATTGAAAGTAATTACTTACGTATTGCATTATGTAAAATAATTAAATCGAAACATTATCTATACAATCAAAGATATTACATGATATAAAAATGTATGCATTGCATTATCAAATCTTCATCTTCGTTTATTTTGTTTATTGATCATTATAGCGATATCAGCACATATTCTTGAATATATCATATTGTCATTTTCATAATTTCCACGACTGACTCAATCCATCATTTCAATACCAAGAAAATTAATTTTAATCGATCAAAGAAATTCCTGTCGAATTACTGTGAACACCCGAGCGGTATTTTCCAACAAATTGCATATTTAAACGTAAACGAGGATCATAGAAATCTAGCCGAGGGAGAAGTTAGAAGGTTCGGACACACGCCCCAGCCTCAAGATTGTTTTTTTTAAATTTCCTCGGGCATAGAGTAATGCCGTGTTACATAATTGAAAGCGTAGGAAGCAGATTGATTAACACACACGAGAAGAGAAAGGTTGCGTCCATATAGATTGGTGGTGGCTTTTATGCGAATCGCGCGAAGAGCAGACTCTAGGCAACCACGTGGGTGTCATCACAAGCGCGCGAAAAAAAAAATTCTCCATACTATGGAGGAGATTATAGACGTTGCACGGGACGATGGGATATACGAGCTGCCAGCGCCTCTCCAATATCACGGAAAGAACGACAAACGACGAAAGACGAACGACGCGACAACTGAGAGCCGAGAATTACGATTTCCTCGAACGAAGTACAGACCATTGACTCCCATTCTCATAGAGAAATTGGCAATTCGATGAAATGCGTAAGGACGAATAATTGTACACGTTATTCCGTTATTAGGGACGATCACCTGGTAATTACACGCTTTGTATTCCGCCCGTTTGTTCCTTGTGTTAACCAAACGCAGCTGGTTCGCTTTAATGCTTCGTTAACGCTGAACGCTTCGTTACAAGGAACTGTATTCCACGAAAGTAAGAACAAACTAGCCGAGCGCGTTAATTATCGGGAAACACGAAACGTCGCGACAACAGTGACGAATTATAATTCAATTTAAAGCTTGGTACGAGTGACGGACGTGTTCGAACGGGTTGAATGGATTGCGGAACTGGTTCTTAGAAAAAGAGACATACGAATAGATTTTGACCAGCGAATTTTAATTTGATTTCTTTGTATTCTGTAGAAATATATTCAATAAAATAATTAGGAAATGATTGCAAAGATTATACAATCTTTTAACGTTATCATTTAATCCAAAAAGGAAAAATATTTCTGAGATAAGATTCGAAGATTCTAGTTTTTCTGATCGAAAGTTTTTATCAAGATATTATCATTTTTATAAGATATCAAATGAGTAAGAGGAGAAAAGTTGTTTCAGTTTCTTTCAAAGAAAACAAAAACTTATATTCCGATATATCGAAACTAAGATCACGTAGAAGCTCTTCGACCCCATTGTCGATCTAAAACGTAACGCGTAACTGTTTTCGTATGCATATGAAATGAACGCACGTGTGCGCTCGTCTTGCGTGATACGGGGTAGTGAATGTAAAACGGAGCGTATAAACTGAATATTTAAAAGATTTTACTACGAAAAATACGGCAACAATTAGTTTCGTTTTCTATTGTATGTACCATCTTCGGTATCGATAATATTGTCAAAAATAAAAAAATCATTATATATAAATCTTCAAATATAATTTGTTTAAAATTTTTTATTTCATATTAATATTGTAAGAAAAAGATTAATCTGACATGAAATGTAAAAAAATTTTCATTGCTTCATAATAAAGAAAATTATAATTATGTTATTCATATCCATCCTATATGAGTTTATATTATTCTCTTTGTGATTTATACGATTTACATTAGATAATTGGAAAATTTTCTTAATTCTAATTAAATTTTCTTATTTCTAATTAATATTAATTACCTGCTTAAAAATATATTTAAATTTCCGAATTAAAAACATTTTTATAAAGTTACAATTTTAAAGTGTATTATATGAGATGTATTATATGTATTATAATATGGGAAATACAATGCAATCCTAATAAAAAAAATAATTTAAGTTGTACTATAAGATACAAAATAATTGTATGTATAAGTAGATACAAATTATAATTATAAGAATATACTTCCTCATAAAAATACAAACAAACAAAAAAAAAAAAAGAAAAATCAAAGAAAACTTATAAAACTATGAAAATATGAAGATTAAAATTTTTAAGATTAATGTAAATTTTGATTTATAAGATTCTTGATTACATTATAAGTAGCAATGATAAATCAAAATTGATTGTTTCCTATCTGAAAAAGCATAATGTTTATAATTTTTAAATAATTAAATCTCTATTCAATATTTATATGATTTCATTAAAATTATATATATATATTTTTTTTTACATTTAATATTACAAATCCTTCTCCAATTGTTAAAATCTTCTATCTTTTTAGATTAAATTTTTCATTGAAAAAAACGATGCAAATCTATAAGAAATTCAGGATTCTATAATAATAATAATGGAATCTTCTTAATCCTTCTTCAATGATTAAAAGCTATAATGAATGAAAGAATGAAAGAAATCTTCCATTATTCATAATATCCATAATATACTATCATGCATACTTAACACAACAATAAACAGAAGAAAAACAATATTTAAAAAACCATAAAGTAAACCAAAAAAACCATGCTTTGTTCACTTGCTTCTACATAACTATGAAATATACGATCCAAGTGCATTATGCTTGTTAATGCGTTAGGAAGCAAGTAATATATTTATGTCTATTATGGATTATAAATATTTATATCGCTCAGACAGATTGTAAAATGTGATAAAAATGAAGCGACAGTGGTCCGCTACTAGGAGATCCCGCCAAAATGAGCATCCTGGAAAAAACGATTACTCACATTAACCAGCAAGAAGAAAATGCTTATCGATTAAAATTAACATACCTAGAGCTCGTGATTTATTACACAAGAAATGACAAGTCAATTCCGTTTCTTCTACTTTATTCTCTCCAATGATGATGATGATGATGCCTCAAGGCAAGATTATCAATGCGTACATAGAATTCTCTTACGTGAAAACGGTATTCATGAAAATTATGATTAATAAAGAAATTAAATTTTGTGCAGGACAAACCTGGAAAAAAATAAGATATTTGTTAGTCAAGAATTTTGTTTTCTGTTAAAGATACATAACTTATACTTGTTATATGATAATATTAGAAAATTATTCAGTATGATTCATATAATTGACATGATAGAATTATACAGATGGAAATAATTAAAGGATGTTATTGATGATTCATTAAAAGACAATAAAATTCTTATATCGATAATTTCAAGTATTTAAATATTTTCAAACTTGAAACTTTCAGTCTGCAAATGAAATATTTAATTAATTATATATATAATTAATATTTAATTAACTCTAAAAAAAAAAAGATATTTAATAATTTGTAGAGATTCTGTTGTTCCAGCAGAATTTCGAAACAAAGTGATTCTCCGATCAATGGAGCATAGATTCTTCCTTCTTGAAAATCATTTTTTCAAGAAAAACTGAAACATTCAATAGTCTCATTCACTGGATTCAAACTGAATGCTTAACTCCCATCGCGACATTTACATTCAACATTATCGCCTCTATTTCTCCAACGGCATCGATGTCTCTTTTCTTCTTTTTCTGTATCCCTCACTACCACGTTGTGGAATGAACAATTTTAAGAGTGGTTGGTTGCCTCGACCGGGTGACTCCCCGCCGCGTTTCCACTTCTGCGCAATCGGGGTGATGTCGAGGGGATTTAGGAAAGCCACAGTAGCCGGCGTGTATGCGGCAAGGACAAGAAAGCCGATCGAGGTGCACTGGCTAAGTATTTCTCCAGAAGTGTGCGTGTATACACATCGTATGTGCGCGGGTGTGCGCTGATCGGCTGGTGAGGCGGCCAGAGAAACGCGAACAAGGACGGTGGCGAAGGAGATGGGGAAGAAGGAGGAGGAGAAGGAGGAGAAGCCAAAGGATATAAAGTACGGTTGCGAAGAAA